ACGCTGTAGAGGTTGGGCCTTTTCTCTTTGATGTCTTTGCTGCAGTAGATGATCGCTTTTAGGAGAGGAAGTTTTTTCTCCACCTGGGAGGGGGGGGGCAAAACAAGAGACCCTTCACCCCCAATGCCTTCACTGGGATTCCCAATAAACCCCCTGAAAAAAATCACCCACTCCCTCCAGTTGGAAGTTAATGGCAACTAGGTCATTAAACAAAGTGGTCGCTAAATGAAACCACCCTCAGACTTACAATGCGATTAACAGCTTTCCAGACGTGCAAAGGTCATAAATGTGAGGATCGGCTGTAACGTTGTTACTTTGCAACTGCCAGTGGTCGCTAAACGAGGACTATCTATATTCCTATGGTTGGAGCGCTCTTGTGCTCTTGTTTTGCTTTTATACAGGTTAGTCCTCAATTTATGACCGTTTAGTGACTGTTCAATGTTACAATGGCACTGAATAAAGCGACTTACGCCCATTGCAGCATCCTCATGGTCACGGGATCCAAACTCAGGCAACGGGTTCCCATTTATGACGGTTGCAGTGTCCCAGGGGTCACGTGATCCCCAGATCAATAGGGGAAGCCAGATTCACTTAACGACCACGTGACTAGCTTAAGAACTGCAACGATTCACTTAACTAAAATGGGTCAGCATTCACTTAGTGTGTTGCTTAGCAGCAGAAATTTGGGGCTCAACTGTGGGTTGTAAGACTTTTTTCTACAAGGCACGCAAGTGAGCCTTGTTCTACTATTGGTGGCGGCATAGAAATACGTTGAATAAACTAATTGTCCTGACCCAGCTCTCAAACAACCCTCTGAAGTTAAAGATTCTTTTATTAGCAGCCCTGACAAAAAATGTCTCTCTTGTCAGGTTTCGATGCTATCTCAAAATAAATGAATTTCCAAACTGCCGATCTTTGAGGAAATTTTCTCTTTATTGAGCATAGTGATCTGTCCCTGGCTCTTTCGCGGTCAGCACTGACCTTTGCCCCCCCCCAAGCCCTCCCTTTCCGATCCCCAATTCTCTGCGTCTCATTGGCTATCTTCCAAGCCACTCTCCTCATCCCATCTCCGTCAGATCACAGGAATGTGCCCCCTCCTCCCATCTCCGAGGAAACAGAATCTTCAAAGGAATTAAGTAGGCAAAAGTTCAAGCTTCTCCTCTCCTTTCATATGTCAGCGCTGGAACGCTGACATCTCTCTCACCGCAGGCTAACAAATCTGTCCAGCAGGGAGATGAATAGCTGTCTGCCACACTATTATTCATCTCCGCCCCTGCCTTTTCTCCCCAGAGCTAAGGTGGGGCTTCACTAGCAGTGGTGGCTCTTCCGTCCCAAGGACCGGCCCATAGATTTCCACTGCTCTCCTCTCCTCTGCCTTCTGTGTATCTGCACGTCAGGCACTGGACCCAGCTGTTCCTCCTCTTCCTCATCCTCCACCTCCAGACTTGGGGGCTGTTGACTCTCCATCGGAGGGCTGACGGATCACCCAGGCTCTCCCTCCCTCTCTCTCTCTCTCTCTCTCTCTGCCAGCTCCATTCCCTCTTCCCCCTCGGAGCTCCCAGGTTGCCCCGATGCTGATCCTGACTCCCACAACTCCTCCTCCTCCTCCTCTTCTGATTCGGCCACAATATATTTCAGAGTGACATACAATTTGTGAATGCAACATCCCCGCACCAATTTTAGTGCATCCGTACACAGCCATCCAAAAGACACAGTCTCAATGCAGTGTTCTCAACCTTGGCACCTTGGAAGGTGTGTAGCTTCAACTCCCAGAATTCCCCTAATTGGGGAATTCTGGGAGTTGAAGCCCGCCCATCTTAAAGTTGCTGGGGGAGAGAGAGAGAGAGAGAGAGATAGGCCACCTCAAAAGGTTTGGTGGGCCATCCAAACTCCCAGAGCCGTGTCTGCTCCATCCCTGGAAGCCTTCCGGAAGAATCCTCTCCTGGGCCGGAGGGAGGACTAGAAGACCTCCCAGGCTCCCTTCCCGAGCCCCCCGAGTCTGGCTCTCACCTCCAGGATTTTCTGCAGCTGTTTGTCGTTCTCCACCACAATGATGTTGGCCCCGCAATTCTCCGCGACGTAGTGACAGGCCTCGGGGGAGTTGGTGGTGTAGATGCCGACGGCAAACCCCCTGCAAAGAGAACGTGCAGCCTCCTTTCAAAGCCCACCTCCCCCCCCCCGCCCCCATTGGCAGAGACAAAGGGGAGATTTGCTCACTGCCATTTGGGGCGGGGGGTTGCATGGCTTCCCGCGCACCCCTTGGAGACTTTGCGGCTTCCACCTGAGAGGCTTCCGGGGAAGCGAGGAAAATTATCGCTCATGGTTGTGCACCAGGACAAAGACCCCCTGCATCCTATGCAGTGCCAATGAAAGCCCCTCACCCACCCAACTGGGGCAGCTTCCCCAGGAGGAGGAGGAGGAGCAGCTCTATTTATTTATTTTTTATTTATTTTATTAAATTTCTATACCACCCTTCTCCCGAAGGACTCAGGGCGGTGAACAGCCACAAGATAAAACACATAAATACAAAAGTTTAAATTAAATTAAAAATGGATTAAGTAATTTGGCTGAATTTAAAATACCCCATAATTTAAAACAAATTAAAATTTACATTTAAAAATGAGCTTGGTGGTTTCTTGCAGGAAATGGGAGTTTGCAGGGAGGTGGCGGAAGGGAGGAGGAGGAGGAGGAGGAGGAGGACTGGGGGGTCCTTGGGGGTCTCCGAGCTTGGAGGTTTTCTTGCAGACATTTCAAGCCATCAGTGCTAAAAGGGGAAGGAGTTTGCATTGATGATGTTCCCTAGTAGGCTCATGAAACGTCTGAAGGAAACCTCCAAGGGTCCCTTCATTTCAACCCTGAGCTACAAATATTCTCCTTTATTGGAGAACAGAGCAACCCAGAAGCAGATTGAACAATAAGGATGAAAGTCTTAGCAGTCAGCTGCTAAACTCGACCCTGAAGGTCTGCGGAATCATCTCAAGCTCCAAGGAAGGGGCACCCTGAGGCGGCGGGGGGGGGCTCCCCTTCAAAGGCTGGGGGAGAGACCCCTCCCCTCTGCCCTGACCCGAAGCCTAAGAGAGAAGAGCAGAAGGGAGGGAGGGAGGGAGGGAAGAAGTGGCTGGACTTGAACCCTCGGCATCGGAGAAGTTGTCAATCTCCACAGGTGGGGAACCCCCCTTTCTTTTCCCAAGAGGGGAGGATGGATGGGGGGGCAGGGTCTTCTCCTTACCCAGCAAAGATGGCGCCGATGTCGGCCAGGAACCACTCCAGGGAGTTGAAGCCCAGGATGCAAACGCTGTTGAATCGCCCCAGGCCCAGCTGTGGGAGAAGGGCAGAGACGTCAGGGAGACTCCTCTCCCCCTCCCCCCCGGATGCTCCCCTTCGCCGCCCCACCTCAGAGCACCCGCTGCCCACCCCCGGCCCCCAAAATCCTCCCCACCCCCGGATTCCCAAGACAACCCAGTCCCACCTCTGCCACCCCTGCAGCCGCCCTATCTCGCAGGGCTGCCGTGAACCGATGGCGACACTGTGCAGAGACCATGCGCGTCCCCCCACCCTAATTCTCTCCCTGCCCCCCCCCGCTGAGACCTTGAGGAAGCTTTTGGCGCTCTTGCGGCACTCCTCGTAGTACTGACAGAAGGACAGCTTGGACCACTGGCCCTGCTTTTTCGAAGCCAGCGCCGGGAAGTGGCCGTATTTCTGCACGGTGGCCAGGAAGAGGTCGTGGACGGTGATGGGGATCTCGGAGCCCATGCCGCTCGCGTCCATCCGCAGCTTGACTTCTCCATCCCGCTTGGTGGTCCATAGACCCCCACCTCCGGGGGCTGGCCCTGGAAGGGAGCAGGCAAGGACATCGTCCTGTTCTCTGACGGTCGGAAAAGGAAAAATCCCCCTTCCCAGGTTCCTCCCAGGTCGCTTCCCCCCCTATTAGAAGTAGTCCTCAACTTACAATGACAAGGGAGCCTGTTTGTTAAGTGGGTTTGGTCCCATTTTATGCCCTTTCTTGAACCCTAGGGGTTAACTGCATCGATGCGGTTGTTAAGTGAATCTGGATTCCCTCACGGACTTTGCTGGTTGCCAGAAATCGGCCCCCCAAAATAGACGCAAGTCCTATTTTTGTGATATTGCAGGATATTGCAGCCGGTCATTAAGTGAGCCGGCGGCCAAGCATCTGAATTGGCGATCACTTGACTGTGAGAGGGGTAGTGTGGTGTGTCACTGTGTTAAGTGTTTGCCAGCTGAGCTTCCGTGCTGAGTTTGTTCAGGGGTAGGAGGAGAATAATGAATTTCACCTCTCTCGGTGGGTAAAAAAAATTCCACAAGCGGCCGTGGAATCTTTACCCACAGAGAGAGAGGTGAAATTCATTAATCTCCTCCTACCCCTGAACAAACTCAGCACGGAAGCTCAGCTGTGAATACAGGTCGTAAATCACGTTTCCCCAAGGCTGTCATTAGTTTGAACCATTGGACGCAAGTCGAGGACTAAGATGTATCGGCAGTCCTCCACTTACGACTGTTCGTTTAATGACGGCTAACGTTACAACGGCCTCGTAAAAAGTTTCTTACTCTGACTAAAAATGGCTACTCTTGAGAAACACCGTGCTAAACCGTCCCTGCCAGCTAGGCTTGGGTCTCCTGGTGGTGTCCTTTCCACCTTTTTCCTACCTTTCGACATCTCAGCTTCCGGCTCCTCCGCAGGCTGCTGGGGCTGGGGCTTAGCTCTGCAGGAAAACCGAAAGAAAAAGTCAGACCAGGGGTCCCCGATCCCCCCCGTCCTCCGTCCCACTGCAGGACTGTGACCTACTCACAACTGCGCCACGTTAAGTGGCAGGTCAGCACGCACGCTCATACAGCTCCATTTGCAGGCGAACTGCATGCACATGTGTGGGCAGGCCAGCCCATCGCTTGCACGGTTCCCCTCTCTTCCCCCCCACTCTCTGCTGCAAAGATTGGGGACCCCCGAGCCAAATTATTTGTCCCCCAGGAGCAAAAGGAACTTCAGATTTCTCCCTGCGTCCCTGGGCCTGCTCCGTGTCACTTTCCCAGCTTAATCTCCCTCCTGCCGTGAGGAAACCCCCCCACCCCACTCTTCAGGACCCTGTCCCCAAACAAGGAAGGAGGGCTGGGAGAAGGACTCTCCGGGTGATTTGATCTCCAGGGAAGGGAGCCAGGCTGCACCCCGCTCGGTCCATGGGCAAAGCAGCAGCGGCTAATTCTACACCAGAACTGGGGCAGGGCAATTGTGAGCAGGCTATTTTGGGGAGGGGGATGCAGAGAGCTCCCCCCCAAAAAAGTGCCAGCTGTCCCAGTCACAGGACTGAAGCCCTTGATTTCCCTAAGAGGGGAGAGGAGAGATGGGGGGGTCTCGAAGCAGGGCTAATGCCAGCGTGTTTCCCCTGTGCCACAGCTGGCATTTCTGCCCGTGGGGGGGGGGTGGAGGGACGAGGAAACCTGCCACAAAGCAGGGAGTGGCAACCAAGCCACGGTTTCTGGAGATCTGCAGCATGGATCCCTCAAGGGAGAGCCACCCTTTCATCTCTGCCCTTGGCCAGGCGGGTGGAAAATGCTTCAACCTCTCAGGGATTTAAGATCATCCATCCCTATCCATCCATCTCTGTCTCTCTCTGTCATCCTATCTATCCTCTCTCTCTCCAATTTCATCCTTTTATCATCTATCAATCCTCTCTCTTTCTCTCTCATCCTCTCTCTCTCTCTGTATCCAATTTCATCCATCTATCATCTATCCTCTCTCTCTCTCATCCATCCATCCATCCATCCATCCATGGACTGGGATTCTGGGAGCTAAATTTCATACAGGTAGTCTGTGACTTACAACCAAAACTGCGACTGGAATTTCCATTGTAAGTTGAATTGGACCTCATTTTACCACCTTTTTTTTACAATGGTTGTTAACGGAACCATGTGGCGGTTAAGCAAATCCGGTTTCCCCAATGGCCTTTTTCTTAATTTTTTTTTTTTTTTTTGCCAGAAATCAGCAGAATAAAAAGGCTCACAAATCTCCATCATAGGACTGCGACCGGTCATAAATGTGAGACGGTTCCACTCTAGGACCAACTCTTGATCTTCCGAATCAGAACGGAGACCCTGGAGTGATGCCCCTGCGTCTGGGATCCTCACCCAGATACCCAGAAGAATTTTGCCCCCAAAGAAAATGATTTCTCCTTAGTGCTAGGCTGGTTCTCTCCTTGATGGAACCTCATTAAGGAGCGAAGCAACCTGGAACTAAGGAGAAACTTCCTGACAGTGAGGACAATTAACCAGTGGAACTGCTTGCCACCAGAAGTCGTAGGTGCTTTAACACTGAAGGTTATTAAGAAGAGATTGGACCACCATTGGTCTGGAATAGGAGAGGGTTCCTGCTTGAGCAGAGGGTTGGACTAGAAGACCTCCGAGGTCCCTTCCAATACTGTCATTCTGGTAATTAATTAGCGGGACGGCTTGCCTCTAGAAGTTGTGGGTGCTCCATCACTGGAAGTTCTCAAGAAGAGACTGGACAGCCACTTGTCCGGGTCTCCTGCTTGAGCAGGGGGTTGGACTAGATGACCTCCAAGGTCCCCTTCAAACGTGGGTTATTCTGTTGGGGCCGTCTGTCAATCTTCTGACTCAGAACGGAGACCCTGGAGTGAGGCCTCAGGGTCTGGGGTCCTCACCCAGTTACCGGGAAGAATTCTGCCCCTATGGAAAATGACTGTCCCCCTGCCCCCCGTCTCAGGGGGAGGAATGACCCCCCCCCCATGCTCCAGTTTCTGTCCTTGTTGGAATTAGCAGCGGCTGCCTGGCTTCCACATCCGCCATGCAAACACAATCACACCGAGACACACCTGGGCCCTGTTCCGTTATTCCTCTCCGTAGCAGGCGGCACCGTGGTTTGCCGTTTCTTATTTGGCATCTTTTAGTGTTGGACTTGGTGGGCTGTGGTGACTGGTCTTCCGGAGAGCCCCGCGGTCCCCCAAAAGGGCACCCTCTCCCTGCCCCTGGGCAGGAGGGTGCCCTCCGCAGCGATGGGCAGCTGCTTTCTGCCAGCCCCGGAGTTCCGGAAGGGCTGCTTGTGACCTCACCCGCAGCGCCAGCCCTCCAGGGTTCTGCCCTTGCCGGCAAAAGGGCTGGCTGGAGCTGCCCTGGGCAACGGGGGGCAAACTTGATGCGGCTGCTCCACGCGGGGAACAGCAGGGTCTACTTGGCCAAACCAGCTTCTTCGGCAGCCCCCGTGCCCTCAATGCTGCATTCACGACTTTTTCAAGGCTCCTGGGCGTAGGTTTCTCCCAAAATTTGCCAGGCCCAAGAATTTATATCCCTCTGACATTATAGGAGACCATTCAGAATCTTCTTTTTTTCTTTCTTTCTTTTTTCTTTCTTTCTTTTTTTCTTTCTTTCTTTCTTTCTTTCTTTTTCTTTCTTTTTTCTTTCTCTTTCTTTCTTTCTTTCTTTCTTTCTTTCTTTCTTTCTTTCTTTCTTTCTTTCTTTCTTCTCTCTCTTCTCTTCTCTTCCTTTTCTTTTCTTTTTTCTTTTTTTAATTTGATTTATATGCCGCCCTTCTCCGGAGACTCAGGGCGGCTTACAATGCGTTAAGCAATAGCCTTCATACTTTTGTATATTTATACAAAGTCAGCTTATTGCCCCCACAAACCGGGTCCTCATTTCACCTACCTTAGAAAGGATGGAAGGCTGAGTCAACCTTGAGCCTTGGAGAGATTCGAACCTGCAGAAATTGCAGGCAGCTGTGTTAATAACAGGGTGCTTAGACCTCTGTACTATCAAGGCTCTTTCTTTCTTTTTTTCTTTTTCTTTCTTTCTTCCTTCCTTCCTTTTTTCTTTCTTTTTCTTTCCTTCCTTTTTTCTTCCTTCCCTTCCTTCCTCTTTCCTTCTTTCATTTTCCCTTCCTTCTTTCTATCTATCTATCCTTCCTTCATCTTTCTTTCCAACTCTCCTTCCTTCTCCTTTCTTTTCTTCCTTCCTTTCGTTTTTTCCAACTTTCCTTGCTCCCTCTTGTTAAAATCAAATTGCAAAGACAGGCCCAATCCATGCTGAAGTTGCTTTACCCCAGGGCTCTCCAACCTGGTCTGAGGAATTCTGGGAATTGAAGTCCACAAGCCCTAAAGTTACCATGGTTGGAGAGCCATGCTTTCGGTTCTGTTGTCAACTCTGAAGTTGGGCTGAGCCAGGCCATTTTCTAGCTTCAGCGTTGGAGCTGAGGTTAGGGAGGCAGTTTGTAGCCAAAACAAAATACTTTCTCTTGGGAACCAAGGTCATTCCCACAGGTGGTCGGAAAGAGGCGGAGTGACATTACCAGGCAACCAGGCGACACGATGATTGGACCATGTGACTGACTGTTTGGGGAAGGGGAAAAACTTTTACTTTTAACTTGGTGAAAACTGTGGGAATATTCAGAGTCGGTTTTCACCAGCCTGTGCCAATACGATACTTCCAATAAATCACATTCCTATGGAATCTGCCTGTCCTATTTTTCGTGGGAGTATTACTTGGAACCCTGACATCTGTTCTTTTTCACTGGGACCCTCACTCGCATCTCAAACCTGGTTAGCTAAAGTTGGGACGTTCTGCAAACGGTCCATTGCATCATTTTGGGATTCCCCAGTTGCATGGAAAGGGAGAAGAGGACATACGCCCGCTAGATCTGGGAAGCATTTTCATACAGAAACTCTTGCAAGGATCTTCCTGGGCAGAAGGCAAAGAAAAGACTGGCTGGAAAGTCTTCAAAACTAAAAAAAATATCCTGGGCTTTTTCAGTTCAAAGAGGAGGCAGCTTCCACTGAGCTGAGGATTAAGAGAAACTCTGGCAAACACAGGAAGCCAAAGAGCAAGGAGCTTGTAGGAAGGACCAAAGGAATCCATAATAGGAGCTGGTGGTGGTAATTTCTGGTGGCCAGCAGTTCCACCGCTTAATTCTCCTCACTGTTAAGAAGTTTCTCCTTAAATCCAGGTTAATTCCAGGTTGCTTCTCTCTTTGGTTAGTTCCATCCGTTGCTTCTTGTCCTGCCTTCAGGTGCTTTGGAGAATAATTAGTCTCCCTCTTCTTTGGGGCAGCCCCCCCAAATACTGGAAGACTGTTATCCTGTCACCCCTAGTCCTTCTTTCCTCTAGATTGGCCGAACCCAGTTCTCCTGCTTTAGTCTCCAGGCCTTTAATCATTTTAGTTGCTCTTCTCTGCCCTTTTTCCAAAGACTCAACCTCTTTTTTGTGTCTTGATGACCAAACTGGATGCCGTATTCCCGGAATTCCAGCTTTATCTGGGCTACTTCTGGTCCAGAGGATTAACTCCTCCCTCCCAAGCTCCGAGTAATCCCAATCTTTATTTGCTCAACGGTTCCGCACGGATCTTAACAGATCTTAAAAGAAAGGTGAGCAAATGGCTTTGCCCTTTGCTACTTGCCTGGCCTGTTCCCCAAGAGAAGCCGGTTTTCACCCCTCCAGCCTAGGACAGATACTTCTGGGCCGTCTTTCGCCATGACCAAAAATGGCTTAAAGGTGACACTTTTCCAAGTGTTCTGTCTGGGACACCAAAGGGAAACTGAGGCAGGGAGGAATGCTCGTCATTCCTCCCCCCCCCGACTGAAAGGGTGGTTGAGGCTTCTCTAGCAAAGCACAGTGGCCTCGCCAGCTGGCTTTGAAAACTGTCCCGACCCTGGCTTGAAGCAGGAGTTTGTGAAAAGACACAACCGGTTAGGGGGTCTCCAAGCCCCCTTCCCCACGTAATTCCTGGAGACTCCCTTGGATAACTGAGCCCATCCACCTCCCTACGTTTTGACGGTTTTCCTCCCCTCCGAGCCACACCCTGTAATTCACAAGCCACCAATGCTGGGGGGGGCGCCACAGGACTTTCACTATAGGCCGTACCCCCAAATTACAGGGTTGACCTTCTCGGTTGCCACACCCCAGCCTTCACTCCAAAACCATCACCGTTCTCTTCTGAGAAGCCGCAAACCACAGAATGGAGCCTTTCCCGAGCCTGTTGGAACTCGTGGAGTAGCCGTGCCCAAATCCTGCCCCTGCTTTCCCACCTCTGGGGCCCACATCCTCAGCAAAGCACCCTCCCCTGGATCGTAACAGGGAGGGAAGGATGGAAGGAGAAAAGCTGGCTCTGAACTCCTTTCTTGTAAGGGGCACTCACAAAGCCAGCATCCATGTCGGTGAGACCCCTTGTTTTTGAGCAGAGAGAACAAAAGCAGAAAATCACACACGCACGTGAGTGTCCCTGATGCTGGAGTCTTGTTCCTCCGATGCCCAGCGTTTCTGCAAAGGCTGTTTAGTCTGTAATGACCTCCGTCGGAGAAAGGAAGCCATGGGGGAAGAAAGGGTAACTGGCATGGCCTGCATGAAATTGCCCAGCCTAGAAACAGCACCCCTGCCACCCCCCACCAGTTTGCTTGCTGGAAAAAAAAAAGAGTGAAACTGGGGTTTTCCTGCACCCCACCCACCGTCCCTCAAGGTGATGCCCAGGGAGGCACCAAGTAATACCCGTTGGATAATCTTCAGTTGGTATCAGCATTTGCCTTTCCAAGACTACACCGGGACCCTCGTTGCTTCCCCCAAGATGAGCTGTCAAGGCCACCCCCCACTCATTTCCCAAAGCCCACACTTGAGCAGCCGGAGCCCCCAACCCAGCCCTACTAAGGATTCTTGTGACAGGTAATAGTCCTCGTCTGAAGACAATTGCGCCCAAAATTTCTGTTGCTAAACGAGACAGTTAAGTGAATTTTGCCCCATTTTATGACCTTTTGAAATTCATATTTCGAAGAACGGGGAAAGGAGCCTTGAACAAGAGGGGTGGGGGGTGGGATGGATTGGATGGCCTCAAGGGCCCTCCCAGCCCTAGAATTCTACAATGTGAGGAAATTACTCCTTTCTGCTTTTAAAGGGGATCAGGGACTACTTGCATTGAGAAATTCCGCTTTCAAAGCAGGAGGAAAGAAGGCCAGAGATATTGCATTAAAGGTGGGGCGAATTTGGGGCAACGGACAGGTGATCTTTAGAGATGCACTTCTTTTCCAAAGAGAAGATTGATGGCTAATTCCCTCTAGCACTGATTGTGTTACCTAGTTGGGCAATGAAAGGTAGGCAAGCTTAGAAACATCAAGGACTCAGAGAAGCAGGGATTAATACCAGACAAACAGATAAGCAACACCCTAACCAAGGAACTGCCAAAGGGAAAAGAAAACACTTTCTCACCAACACGGAGAGGGTAGCCCAGTAGTCAGTATATCAACAGAGAGCCAACTGCTACTCCCTTCCAGCACTGATGACTACCTATATAGGTAGTCCTCGATTTATGACCACAACGGAGCCCAAAATTTCTGTGGCTAAGCCAGTCAGCTGTTAAGTGAGTTTTGCCCCATTTTACAAACGTCCTTCCCACAGCGGTTTAGTGAAATCACTGCAGTTCTTAAATTCGTCACACGGTCGTTCAGGGAATCTACCTTCCCCGTTGACTTCGCCAAAGGGGATCGCGTGACCCCGGGACACTGCGACCGTCGTAACTAGGAGTCGGTTGCCCGGCATCTGAAGTTGGATCACGTGACGGTGGGGATGTTGCAACATGTCGCAAGTGTGGAAAAACGGTCACAAGTCACTTTCCCCCCCCCAGCGCCGCTGTAAATTTGGTCCCTAAATGAACTGTTGTAAGTTTGAGCTCTACACGTGTGGGTCCTGTTGTTCGCGGCTGACACATGTGGGGTGAAGCATGGTTTGAGCAAGCCGTGAATGTCTGGTTTATACAGACCACTAAGCTGCAAACCAGGATGGTCAGTTCCAAATAAGTTCAACTTTGTTTTACCAAATCTCCACTGGATTCCCCTCCCCCCCCACACCACTTAATGGTTCAAACACCCCCATGGTAAAAATGTGTGCCCCCTTCAGATGCGGGTGAGGAGACAGACAGGAAGCACCCACCTGGGCGAAGAGGTGGTCACCGCAATGTCGTTCAAAGAGACATCCGTCGGTTCAGAGAAGGGAGGCGTCACTGGTCCCACAGGGACGGATCCATTCACCACGGCTGCCGCTGCCATCTTGACCGAGCCTGGGGTGGTCGGAAAACGGATCCCTTACACCGTCTCTAAGCCCTTGAAAGCCCGAAAGGTTTAGCCTGAATTGAGAAATCAAAGAGTGCCTCTTAGTATCACCTTCTCACTTCCGGGCGTGTGTGGGAAGCCACACCACAGACAAGGAACAGGAAAAGAAAAAGAAAATAAGTTACAGGTATTAACCCTTCGGAGATGGAAGAGATGGGGGGCGGGGGGGGGGCGGGCTGTTGCTTTTGCAGTCCTCCAGCCATGCAATTGTGGATCGTTGGCCAAGAGTGGACTAGATGACCCTTAAGGTTCCCCCAACACTGTCGCCCTTGAAATCAATGAAAAGTTGACACACACCCCTTCTTTCCATCCCCAAGCCTCTGAATGCAAAATCCCTTCATGATTCTTGGCATTAGCCCACCATCAGAATGCCAGAATCACAGAGTTAGAAGGGACCTTGGAGGTCTTCTAGTCCAACCCCCTGCTCAAGCAGGAACCCTCTCCTATTCCAGACCAATGGTGGTCCAATCTCTTCTTAATAACCTCCCATGATGGAGCATCCATAACTTCTGGTGGCAAGCTGTTCCGCTGGAAACTTTCTCCTTATTTCTAGGTTGAATCTCTCCTGGATGAGTTTCTTGTCTGGCCTTCAGAAAATAGCTTGACCCCCTTCCTCCCCTCTGGGGCAGCCCCTCAAATATTGGAAGATGCTCTCCTGTCTCCCCTGGTCCTTCTCTTCCCTAGACTAGCCATGCCCAGTTCCTGTCATCGTTCTTCGTATGTTTTAGCCTCCAGTCCCCTCATCATCCTGGTTGCTCTTCTCTGCACTCTTTCCAGAGTCTCAACCTCTTTTTTACATTGTGGTGACCAAAACTGATGTAGTACTCTAGGTGTGGCCTTACTAAGGCTTTATAGAGTGGTATTAGTGCCTCCCTTGATCTTGATTGTATCCCTCTGTTTATACAGCCAAGGATTGCGTTGGCTTTTTTGGCGGCTGCTGGCTCATGTTTAACTAATTGCCTACAAAGACTCCAAGTTCCCTTTCACAGCTGTTTTTTGAGCCAGGTTTCACCTAACGTACACCTGTAACATTTGTCAAGCCTTGTTTTTCTCACCACTGAATTTCATTTTGTTGGACGGGGCCCAGCGTTCAAATCTATCGGGATTCCATCTGGATTCTTGAGCTTACGTGACTTGATAGCACATTGTCAGTCAATCCCAAACCCCGACTGGGAAAGATGGAAAGAAAGAGGAGGACGACCTGGGAGGGGTGTGTGAAGGGGAGGATGGACTCCCTCACAGGGTTGGGAGACCTGAAGGTTTGGGGTTGGAGAGCCTCCTGCTAGAGAAATCCCACCCAGGTGGTCAGCAGGAGTCGAAGACAACCTGATGAGACCCTCACCCCCCCCCCCCCCCCCCCGCATCCAGGTGGCATCTAGTGAAGCAGCTTTGAAGAACTCCAGAAATTGCAATATTCAAAACCAACCCATTTGTCTTCTGGGAGAAAGAAGGAAGGAAGGAAGGAAGGAAGGAAGGAAGGAAGGAAGGAAGGAAGGAAGGAAGGAAAGGAAGAAAGAAAGGAAGAAAGAAAAGAGAAAGAAAGAAAGAAAGAAAGAAAGAAAAAAAGAAAGAAAGAAAGAAAAAGAAAGAAAGAAAGAAAGAAAGAAAGAAGCTTCTTGGAGGAGAAGCGAAACGTCTTCAAAGAAAACCCAAAAAGTCTAGTTGTCTCTTGAAATAAAGAAGAAAAGCCCCTTTGGGGCAAGCGGATGCCTGAGAATCTCCATAGACATCTAATTCTCTAACCTAAAAGTTTTTTTTTTCTCATGAGTTATTAACATCTGGATTTCTCCCCTGTTGCAACTGGGGAAGGAGAAAAGGGGACGGCGCATCCATTTCCTCTTTGAAAACAGGAAATGTGCCGGATTGCTCAAGCCCCCCCTTTTCTCCGAAGCCGCCCCCCCCCAGTTGAGGTCCTGCCAGGCCACGGGTGACGTGTCACATCAGCCCATCGGCCCTCAACCTTGAATGGACACATGCCTGTCTCCCTCTCCCTCTCCCCCACCCCCAACAACCTATTTCAATCGGCTTCCGGCACAGCAAACCACGCAAAGGATTTCCGCCGGTTTGATCAAAAATAACTTCCATTTGTGTGCTAAGACACTGATCGAGGCGGGCAGACGAGCCCCCGCGAATTGGCAAACGTCAGGTTTTTGTTTGGAGACAAAAAGGGGCGGGAGGGGGAAATTTCCAGCCTGTTTGGACCACAGACCTTTTAATGCACGTTTTGCTCCACGGAACCGACTTCTGAGCAGCCTGTTGCAAGGAGTTGCCAGTTTAAAACTTGCTCACTGGAAGGACGTCATTTCATGTCTAACCAATTTAAAAAAAAACAAAAACCCACATGTTCCTTTGGTCGTTGGAGCCAAACAACTAGAATTTTCAGCTGACTGCCTTGGATCGTGGAAGTTCCACTAAGGTTTCAGGACCCAAAATCAGTACTAAATCTGATTTTTTTTCTTCTTTCCCCTGAAACTGGATCAGCTACAGCCAAATCTGATCTGGCAACTTCCTTCTTCCCAGACCTCCTGGAGAGGAAGATGCTACTCACGAGGCATGCAGCAACATATTCCTGGCTGTTCATTGGTAGACTGCTCTTGGACAGGGAGGTTCTCTCTTCAAAACCCTCTCGCCCTGTGTTCCCGAGACAGACGTTTTAAGCGATGCTCTGTGTCATTCGCTTCTTCACCCTCTCCTGTTCCGAATTCTATTTTGACCGGGTGAAAGTATTCTGTCCGCAACGGGCATCAAAATGCTCCCCTGCCTTCTTTCCCCCCCTTAAAATTTGAACCCGAGGCCCGTTTCCTTTCAGTTCACCAACCACTGTCATGTCAAATTGACCTGGCGGTTATCTCAGCTATCGAAAACCCCAAGGTGAACACGCCCTGAAACAAAACGGGGGAGATAGATACGGGTGTAACCCTGGCAAACACCAAGAACCGGAAGAAAAGCCGCTGAGGTCCCCCCGCGGAATGGCTTCTGCTCCCCAATTCCCAAGAGAAGGAGAAGGAGAGCGAGAGAAGCAACTAAGGGGCCTCTGGAGCCCAGGAAAAAAAGCCTCCCCAGGTACGAGGTGAACGAAGATTTCTTTTGCAAGGATCAGCCCGGAGCTGCGCCAGGCCCCAACCTCCCTGTTTTCACCCACCCCTCATTGGTCCGTAGCCCCAGGGCTGGCTGGGGAATTCTGGGGAATTCTGAAGTCCACCCGTCTTAAGAGTTGCTAAGGGGGAGAAGGTAAACCCGGCGCCCTGGTGACGGCTGGGGAATTCTGGGAGTTGAAGTCTGAAAGCCCCCAAGGTTGAGGCAACCTGCCCCATTCCAGAAGGCGAAACCGTAGAGTATCCGGAGAGTGTTCCACATTGCATCACTCGCACTCAGCTCAGGTCAGCTGAGCCCTTCTTCCAGAGAGACAGCCAAGCAGGTCAAAGGGTCTGTTTTCACAGAAGGGTTTGAGAAAGAAAGCTTATGCAAGAGTCCGATATTTTTAGCAACCCTCCAGCTGCTGGAGAGGGGTGGGGGGGGGAGACCAGACTTTTGGCAAACAAGAGTTAGTGCCAGCAGCAAGGAACCTGTCCAAGGACTTTAGCCCAGGAGAGAAAGAAGGCCTACTGCAGAATAACAGAGTTGGTAGGGGACCTTCGAGGTCTTCTAGTCCAAGCAGGAAACCCTTGCCCTTTCAGACAATTCAGAAATGGTCCATTTCAGGCATATCTCATTCTATTCTGCTTGTGGACGCCTGCCTTGGGCAAGGGGTTGGACTAGACGACCTCTGAGGTCCCTTCTTGCCCCAGGATTCTACTGCATGATCCACCTTACAGCCAAATTTCACTGCAATTCCCCTCCCAGCAATTCTCTCGCTTAAACTAATCTAAGAGGCAGCACCTGGCCTCTCACACATTCTGCCTTGAACATAGCGTACGTACAATGTATAACGGCAACCTGGCCACGTGCCTTACAAACCACCATTGAGAGCTTAAGCATGTTATGTGAGCCAACTGCAGCTAATTCAACACAATCCCGGTTCAGAGGAGCGAAATGAAGCTAAGCGCAGCGAGCGACCCAGCCAGGATCTGAAGAAAGATTTTCAACTGGGCCTCCAAAAACTCGAGACAAAGCTTCCCTCCTCCCCACAGAAGCCTTCCAGGGACTTTTGCCATGGGCAGGAGCCCCCTTGACTCTTGCAAAACTCTTAGCTAGGAGAGACAGGGTTAAAAAGTCAGGCTGCTTCTTATTTGCACATCGTGCAATTGATAGCTGCTTATCGGGCACAGCCCCGATTTGGAACGGTTTTAAACACACACTTGAAGGCTGCAACACCAAAGAGGCAAAGTTCAGACCATCTCCCCGAGCCCCCTGGCCACCTCTTTCCTACAGGTGGGGCTCAAAGCCCCTCGCACACTGGAACACACGCCAAGGGGGGGGGGGCAACCTCTACTCAAGGGATGGGAGAAGCCAGCTGAACAGATGCTTCCTGCAAAAGGAAAAGCCAGAAGCACCAGCAGCTGCCTTAATGCTGGAGCAGGGCTCCCCCCTTTTCCATTTTAATAGAATAACAGAGTTGGAAGGGACCTGAGAGGTCTTCTAGTCCAACCCCCTGCTCAAGCAGAAAATCCTACACCACTTCAGACAAACGGTTATCCGATCTCTCCTTAAAAATGCTTCCAGTGTTGGGAGCATTCACAACTTCTGGTGGCAAGCAGTTCCACTGGTTAATTGTTCTCCCTGCCAGGAAATGTCTCCTTAATTCTAGGTTGCTTCTCTCCTTAATGAGTTTCCATCCTTTGCTTCTTGTCCTGCCTTCAGGGGCTTTGGAGAATAGGTTGACCCCCCCCCTCTTCTTTGGGGCAGCCCCTCAAATATGTATCACTGCTATCCTGTCCCCCATAATCCTTCCTTTCACTAGGCCAGTTCCTGCAACCGTTCATCATTTGTTTTAGCCTCTAGCCCCCTACATGTCTTGGTTGCTCTTCTCTGCACTCTTTCTGGAATTAATTTAACATCAATTTTAATGCGAAGC